AAATGATGCTTTTTTAATTAAATGTACTATCATTTTCTTTTTTCCTTCCATTTTTATTAAGATATAAGTAACTGACATATAGCACTGTAGAAGCTTAAGGTGTACAGCACAATGATTTGACATACATCAAAAATGACTACCTCAACTAGTTTAGTGAATATCCATCATCTCATAATGATAAAAAATAAAATAAAGAGAAAAAATTTTCCGTGACAAGAACTCTAAGATTTACTCTCTAAATAACTTCCATATATAGCATACAGCAGTATTCATTACGTTTATCATGTTGTATACTACATTCCTAGTACTTATTTATCCTATAACTGGAAGTTTGTACCTTTTGACTACCTTCATCCAATTACCCCTCCCCACCACCCCCAGCTAGAGTAACCACAAATCTGGTATCTTTTTCTATGAGTTTCTTTGTTTTTGAAGTTATCACTGACCTATAACACTATGTTAGTTCCTGGTGCACAATATAGTGGTTTGATATTTCTATACATTACAAAATGATCACAATGTCAAGTCTAGTTACCATCTGTTTCTACACCAAGATATTATGTTATTATTCACTATAGTCACCACACTGTACATTTCATCCCTGTGACTCATTTATTTTGTAACTGGAAGTTTAAATGTACTTTCATCCTCTTAGTCAATAACTGTCAGCCATCTGAACCCTTAATTTTCTTCTGTTCTTATAAATATTGCTATATAATTATACAAAGGAATTTTTCTTTGGATTTTTTAAAAAAATTAATTACTAGAAACAAGATTTTCCAATTAAATAATATGAACACTTTTATGGTATTCATACAATCTATTTTCCCAAAAGGTATCAATTTACACTCTTTATAAATATGCATGTACCCTATATTTGCTAGCAATGGATTTTTTTAATGTTTGCCAACATCTGCAAGATACTGCTCAACATAACTAAAAAAGTTGAACTTTCACCTACATCTACTAACAAACTATGTTCTTCTTTTACTGTGAATTGTGCACTGAAATTAACTTATCAATTGAGGGTCTGAATGTTCTTCTTCCAAATTCTTTAACACAAGAGTATTTTATCTTGCCCTAAATCTATCTTTAAGAAATTTTTTCTATTTCTAGTGACTGAGAATTTGTGAAAAGTCCACGTATGCCCCATGTGAAAGCTTACTGCCTCATAGGTTCTGGTATCTTATTGTAATGAGGATGCTTGAAATACAGAGTTACTAAATGATTTTTCAGTTTCTTGAAAAATTTTGGCTTAATTATAGTATCACTATTATGTACATTTTAAAAATTATGAAGACATTACCTTCTCCTCATTTGCTGTAGAAGAATCAGGATCCTTTCTTTTCTTCTTCAGTTTTTTATCTTTGTTTTGTTTTGTTCCAGAACTCTGATAAGGCTGCAAATCTACTCGAGAATGAAATTGGTATCGACCACTTTCTACATCACAGTAGTAATAAATTCCCGTGGAAGGATCATAATATAGTTGATTTTCCTTTCAAAATCAAGAAAACAGTAAGTTCTATTGATGTAAGATGAAATAAAAGTAGAAAATTAAACTTAACAAAATACCAAATATATTCAGAAATACATAGTACATGTTTCTTTTAAGAACTCCAGTATCTTCTGAAGATAATAAAGAAAACAGAATGAAAAATGTTTGTAATTTTCCAAAACATTTTACCATTCAATACCTGTTCTAATTTTCTTAGTGTGAAAAATGAATACACTTAAATACTAAATTAAATCTCATGAAACTGCCAATATTTGACCATTTTTTTACTTAAAGAAACAGTAGCTTCATATGGTTCAACAAGAAATCTTTTAGAAGTTATGAAAAACAAGGCATGCATCAAAAAAAGCTGACCATATAAAAGCAATTTCAGACTCATTCTCCATATGATTACATGATAATCGTTTGCCAGTGTAAATCCCTAAACTGTTAATGTCATGAAACAAAGATTTGCCTTTTAACATTCATGACTCAAAGCCCTGAAGAAAAATTTGAAAATTAAGCTCATAAATAATACAACATACTATATAAAGAAATAAAAAAACTGTCTTCACTATTTAATTAGTTCTACACTAAGTAACTAAGTAAGACTTACAAGTAAAGTAGCCATGCAAAATAGAATTTTGGTAAATTATGGATAAAAACTAGAAAAATAAAATTAAGCATTCATCTGCATTTATTAGATACTGGTCTTTTCTCTATAACCAAGATTTAACTGACAGTCTATATCTTATTCACATCGTAATCCATACAGATCAGATCTGGAAACATCTTACAATATACTGAGATTAAGCAACTGAAACTTCCTGAAAAAGAATAATTTATTTTTCTGACTGTTGATACTACTGCAATTTATTGTCTTTAATCTATTTTGTAGATCCCTTAGAAAAATATTAAGAATTCTATCTTTCCCTTAACTGAAAAACTGAATGGAAGCTTTCTAATCTTTATTTCCAAGGATAACAGAATTTTTACAACCCAAATCTTTTTAATGTTACGTCTTTCAGTCCAAAATATAGACATTTTCAAATATTTAACAAATTTTTTATTTAATTAAAATAAAGTGAAAACTAGGACAATAAAAATGGCAAAGCAATGAGAAGTCCCTACTTCATTGAGGACAGTTATAAAAAGGAGAGTTTAACCATTAAATTTCTGGGTATTAATTAGCATTGTCAATTAGCATACTCCTATGAAA